GGAGGGCGGCCTGCCAGATCGTCAAAAGGGGTAACGAAGCACCCGAACGTGAGAACCACTGATCGAGAGAGATCAGTTCTCAAAGAAAAAACGATCAGTTTGGTTGTTCCGAAAACGTATCTATATTAGATCGGGACGGATGAAGAAATCTAGTTGAGTGGACAAGTTCGACGAAACGAACATTTTTGCGTTCACCGTGCAAGAAGTTCGATAGACCACCGCCACGTAGACCTATAATCAAGACGGTACCGTAGGCGTCTTCACTGAATGAAATTGTATCGCTAAAGAAAGGTGACATGGCCAGCATGCGTTTATAGTTGGTTGCCAATGCGCGTGTATCAAGCGGCCACTCTGCGGTCAACTTATTGTGATCGCCGATCTCTGAAATATTGCAAAATTCGAAATGTTTTTCCAAAAATTCCACTGCTATTTCATTTTGCATCAGACATCACATAATTTTGCAATCTTATTGGTAGGTTGCGAGCAAAATTTGCTTCAATCTGCTTGCAATGATCAATGTTTGAACGCTCATTGATTAATGTGAATACTGATCAATTGAAATCCTCATTGATCGAATTGATCAAATAAACTCATTGAAAACTGCGGCTGTTTCTCGGCGGATTAACAGTTGCAGTGAATTCGATGCATGATTGGTGTACCTGTCGGTGTTAAGAGTTTTGCGGTTGTTAACCAACTGCGATTTTCACCGATTGTAAATACGTTTCGATAAACTCGAAGTCTGAAAGAATGACTCTGTTCAACGAAAATTACAATCTGAATTTCATCCTCTGATTGATCTGCATCTTGCAGATGCTTGGCTAATCACGAGAACATCTCGGAATCATGCGCAGCTCATGCATTTTTGATATGGCACTTCATTGGCAGTAATTCTATCAGTGTTGATCACAACTGATCACTTTAAGTTTCTGCTGTTTGAGACCCTCGCCAATTTTTTAGGTTCCAAACAAAATTCATGGATTAGCAGTTCCACTGATGGTCTTTCTTAGCCTAAGCCCGCCCAAAGCGGCACGTTTCGGAATAATAATCAACCGTTAGAGACAAATGAATTGATCGAGATGGAGAGCATATTGAATTTGTTGTCAATTTATTGTTCATTTAGCAGTTTTGTAGGTAATCATTTGAGTGGCACGTTGTTTTAGGAAATGCGGATAAAATGAAACAAATGCGATGAAACAGACTCGTCTTCGTGTGTAACCCAACCACGATCACTAACTTCCCATGTTTCATTGATCATATCGCTCTTGAATGTCTCCAGCACAACCTGTCCTTGATAGGCTATCTCTAGCGCATGTCGAAACGATCGTTCCTTTGGACTTTCAACATATGTCGAATGATATATCACTTTCTGAAGTTGCATTCGATCAGATCTCATTTTCATTTACATGATGCTATAGGATTTGTTCGTTGAGCATCAATTCGACAACTATCGAATTGCTGCAATTTTTGAGAGATAATA